TGGTATCATAAGTTTAGTGACAATCTTTTGCGTATATTTGAGTTCCACGTTAAACCATTTAACTTTGTTTGCCAAATTCTGCAACTATATGAGTTACGAATGTCGTTTATCTATTTAAATAACAATTAGTTTAAATTGTACTGGTGCTATCACCTCTAAAAACTTATGCTATTTTCAATGCAGTAAATTGTTAAATTTTCAATGCAGTCAATTGTTAAACCTGTCCAATTAAAAGTAGTGGTGTAACTACCTAATCATAAGTTCTTCCACAAGCCGCCAGGGAAAAATCAACAAGTATGTAAGTGTAACATAGTGCTTCACACCTATGTTAGCTGCTAATCATTAATTACCATAATTGGTGCGATTTAGATTAAAATGTCAATGCCATGTTACGTCAATGATAAAGTATTAAATCTATATTTACTTAATGCAAACAATGAGGAGAATGAAAGAAGGAGAAGAATTGGAGAGCCATTACAATCAAGGAGCTCAATATAGTAATTGAAACATTAATACTCACTTTTATTAATCGATCAGCTTAGACTCTAGAGAAAGGGGGTAGCCATCACGAAGCACATCCCTGAGTCGAAGATTTTAAGCCTAGACCGCACATCCATAACAACATACTTCATCACTCTAGACTACAAAAGCAACACTTATCGATCAAGCGTTTATAGCCAGAATCGCTATATTACACTAACCTCTGAAATTATATTTAACTTAACAAACATTACATATCGAAACATCAGGCCTTTTTTGGAGTCCTAGGTGAGCGCAGAAGCGAATCCTAATCCCTAATAAAATTTTTCATCATTATTTCCTTCAGAGTAGAAAAACCTTGAATTTCATCAGTTTTCATCCTTTTCTATCTTTTTCTATGATCGTTTAATTAATTCTCTGTAGTATTATCGTTCCCATTTAGGAAAATCTATTAGGTGACGTACATCATAGTTCATTGCATTAGTTCACTTATCTTCTGCAATCGATAGGCACCGTAATTGTCCTACTTAATCTTCAGTTCTTTCTTCCTCGCATTTTTGTGCAGAGTAAGCATGTATTGCTTCGCTTCCGCTTTTTGATGTGTTTGAAGCGGAAGTTTCGCAAATTTCTGGTTCATCTGAGGAGCATTTGTTACTTCTCGTCCAGTATCGATGCGACAGAACCCTACAGGCCCGAAACATGGCACGCCACAAAAGACGAACTGCAAGGGAAACCGGGTACCAGATTAAGAAGCAAATGAACAACACCATCAACCCCGCGTATACAAGCAGAAATGGGCTATATGTCCGAGATGTAACGAGAGGAAATCCGCGTCAAACTTAGCAAGGCACCTAAGGATATGCACCACGTCCATGGTCAGGGTAGAGGACATACCCTTTGAACCAGGAGGGTGAAAGTCTACATACTACTCCTATTCAAACGGAAGAGACCATTTTTTTTTCTCAATAGTCCAGCAGAGAGCATTTGGCAAAATGTAGAAGTGAGTTGGAATGGAACTATTATCGTCACCTAACAACCTACATCCTTACAAGGCTTTTTTGGAAGTCGATTTGTCTAGCGATGCTCAATACAAACAGGGTTTTCTGGCATGCCAAGGCTACGAGTTTGAAGACGATCCCACAAAATTTTAAGACAGTACAAAGCCCTATTATAAAGAGAAAATAAAGCTGCTGAAGTTTATTGACTGACTGAAGCTGTAGAGCTGAAGAGAATAACTGCAAATTGTAAAAACTGAACGGAAAAATTATATTTTTTTGTCCAATTCGAGGGATGAATTCACGATAGAATTAATTTAAATTTATTTATTTTAAAGAACACGGCACTGACAACCTTTAAACATTTTAGTACATTTTAGTCGTATTAACTGATCGCAACGGTGAGATCTTCAAAAACTCTACAGTATACAATGGTTGACAATTTTGAAATCAGCAAATTGTGTTCTTTACATCAACTATCATTCAGATTTCTAGGATGTTTTCCCTCGGATATGTTTCCAAAAATTGTTTAGATGGTATCAACACGCAACCTATAGGTGTGTTGGGCGAACCTTGGCTTTTGTTAGCTTCAACTAGTGACTCTCACGGGTAACCTAATCTTTTGTTTTTATGAGTTTCAACAGACCGATTCAAGTGTGGTTTCGCCCAATCTACAAAAAGCTGCGTTACATACTCGTTGCCAAATAAAACAAATATTTGCTCTCTTGTTTCGAAAAAACAAACGAGTTCATTTTGTGGATTTTGTTTTTTATTTATGGATCATTGTAAAACTTCAAAAACGAATAGAAAGGCTACTTCACCTAACTTTGTTTCACTAGACGATATAATACAGTTGGTCTCTAGTAATTATGTTTTAAATTTGAAGAGAATAATTATGTTACGATAAAAATGTTTTAAGTATAGCTGTTGTTCTATAAATATTTTCGATTTCATTGCTCGTCTTCTTCGCTGCTGCTGCTCTCCTCGTCACTGCTGCTATCGACCAAAGTGGCATCCATCGTCTGCCCACAACTCTGGTTGGTTTCTCAAACTGCTTTGATGACTGACAGCTTGTTGAGTATCTCTGAGGGCTTGAAGCCAGTATCTAATTTTTTTTGCGAAGAGTAAACTTTTCAACCAATAGATAGAGGCATATCAGTTGACTACTTCGTGTTCTGGCGTACGTAATTGTTTTTCATCAAAATTTGCGGCTCTTCGTCCAAGATAACCCGATAGCGTGTTGAACACATAAACATTTCTTCAAGAATGCATTGCTTAATCCCGTTACTCGCCCCTTTTACTTTGTAGAATAAAGACGGCCGAGTAATTGTTTCACATTGAGGCCTTTTAAATCGTTCACAATTGACGGAACAAGCTCAGGTTGCTTCTTCTTTTCCTCCTCTTCCTCCGAACCCATTCCAACAGAGCTCTCTAGTCCTTGCTGCATCTTTGTAAACTAAAACCAAACAAAGGTTGATTGACAAAAAAGGAGGTATCAGAGTCAACTGAAAAGAATATATATACCGCTGAAGACTCCGTGACCGCAAGTTCCCGGTGGATGTCCACTTCCTGGGCATACAGCCGAGACTCCTTCTTCATCGCTTCAGTCATTCCCTCCAACAACGTCTCTTGTTGCTCTGTAGAGCAACTTTCAACCACCTCCATCTAGTTCTCGGGCGTTGTTGCCTCTCCGTGATTTGCTTCCGCCATAATTTCATCCTCGATTTCGTCGACAATCAACCGGCTGTAATCCTGGCCCTCAATCAATTCTTTTGGGTCCGTTAGCCCAGCTAGAAGCAAGCTGACAGCTGAATGAATTTGAGCCCCATCTTGACAGCTAGGTTGCTGTGGTGATTGTATTATTGTGTTGAATAACCCAGACGTTTATTGCAGGAAACTCTTCAGGTTGAATTGGGCCATTTTTAGTGTAATTTCAAGAAGAAATATTTTGATGTGGAATTTAGCTAAAGTTGAGACTAACTGAAATTTTTAAAGAGCGTTATTTTAAGCAGATCTAGATGAGTTTTTTTTGAAAATTAGTGATAAGAAAAGTGCTGAATTTCTAAAGTGTATTTTTAACCAGAACTAGATGAAGTTTTGTTGAAAAATAGTGATGAGCAAAGTGCTGAAATTTATAGACTGACTAAAGTTGTAGAGCTGAATAGAATAACTGCAAATTGTAAAAACTGAACAGGAAACTTTTTTTGTCTAATTGGAGGGATGATTTCACGATAGAATTAATTTTAAATTATTTTTTTAAAGAACACGACACTGGCAACCTATAACCAATTTTAGTACATAGGTAACCTATAACCAATCTCAATACATGGAAATCTGTAGACAATCTTAAAACACCTGGATTTGGGGTGTATCCGTGTATGTATTCTTATGACTAATCTAACGATACCGGTTCTGGTTTGGTCTCGTTCGATCAAGTTTCAAAAAAGTAATTAGCCATCTACTAGGCTCAAATTACAAAGATTAAACTTACTCCTGATTGGTGGAGGATGTTGGTTAGCAATAACAAACCGTTTTTTTTTTTATAAATGACAATAAAAGAGGAATAATTTTAAGTTTAACTAACAAGTGTATCTGAAAAAAAATAATTACATCGATGACAATCGATCGTGCCTAACTGTGATCGACTTCCAGTTTTGATAGCGAAATCAAAAAAAAATTCCTTCTGGCTCAGTGTTCTCAAATCGGGTTAATTTTTTCAAAAAAGTGTCAATCATAATTTATAGAAATTCAAAGAGCTTTAATGTCATCTGTTTTTTTTCTTTGAAGTTGACGTCATTGTTTTATTATCAGTATTTGCTGCTGGTCTTAATATTGTACATTGTACGTACAGTAATTCCGTTTAGATTTAACCGAGGGATAACGAAGCAAGATTCTTTTGTTGTTATGATGTTTTTTGCCTCCTGTGTCGTGCAGTTAGAACTCATCTCATTTGTGTTAATTTGGATCTTCTAAATCAGTTTGGAACTTAGCTTAGACTACAGTGTAGTGACGTTAACTTTAAACCTTTTGTTAGATTACTCTGATTAGTTATGGTACCTTTCTTTATACGATGATTGCTTGATTTATCATGTCTAGAATTCATTTTTGACCAACTTCGTTTAATGTAAGAATCATTTTGCAGCAACTAGTAGGGACTATTTGGATTTGGAATGTCATGAAACAAAATGTCTGTGTGGAATAGTCCCAGCGTAGACTAGGATTAAACTACATATTGTTTCAAGGTATTTCTTAGGCCTGAAAGACTGCAGGTTCAAGGAAGATGCAATTTTCACTAATTCTTGAATATCATGAGCCGCCGAGATGGCTCGACAATTTTTCTTACTGGCATACCCTGCTATTTTAACTTTACATAGGAAGGTGAATATATTTTGATTAATGACTAAACTTTCGATTAAACCCGAAGAGAGAATTTCTTAGCAAAAAGGGAATCGCCAGTGTTGATATTGTAATGAATAGCTCTGATGAGATCAGATTTCTAACCGGTTTTTGTTTCGTTTCAGATCAAAATGTGCTCTAACAGATGAGGTTTTCTGTTTGACATTTGATCCATTGTTCTCTGATTTTGAGTAGGGAAGTAAGTAAGATGAGTCGCAGGTACGACAACCACAGCCAAAGATATCCGTCTCCTAGATCCAATTTCAGAACTGAGTACCACATTGGAAACGGATACATCAACCCACGCCCTACTGACAGCAGAGATAATAAACCCGCAAAGAGGTTAATAAGACTTGTATTTATTTTACTAGGCTGTGATTAGAGGTATGTGAAAAGAAAAATAGCATACCTCCTACCAAGACTCGCATGTATTTAAACTGGGTATGTGAATTGAAGATTCAAAAAAAGACCTTACGCGCTCGCTGAAAACTTAAATAATGCTCATAATTTTGTTATGAATTTTAATTCTCATGTATTAAGAGGCTTTTTTACAAATAAATTGTGCCCAATTCAAATGATTATATGATTCGCGTTAGTTTCGTGTCTTCGTTCATGAACATATGAATCACGATAAATTTTGTTATTGATAATTGAATACTTTGTGATTTTTATGCTAAAGTATGGCATATGGCTAATTTTGGACATATGTTCCAGTATGTCAGCAAATAGCAGAAAGGAAAATGAGAAAGTACTGTGGCATGCATGAGTCAGTATGTATGACAGGGCTAAATTCATTCCATAATTGAAAATTTATGTGCCTATTCATTTGTTATTTTGGCTAAGTTTTTGCATTTGTGTAGTATATACACACAGGAACTGCTTTCAATGAGGAACAAATCTGAAAGTCATTCCCGATCCGAAGACAGCGAGTCAAGTGGAGAAATCGAGCGCCATGGTCACAATAAACAAAAAGATGCTGGATCCAGAAACCGTTATCGCAGTTCCTCTGAAGACTCAGATCGTTCGAATGAGCCACGGAGATCTGGCAACGATAGGAGACATCGCGACGAATCGTCTGGTAGTGAACGTGGGTATGAACAGCGTTATAAAAAGCGATCGAGTCGACATGGTTACGAAAACAGTTATCATCGGTCGCTGAAAGGTAAAAAGAATCAGAAGAACTATTCGTCTCAAAGTAGTTCAGGTGATGATAATTACGAGAAAAGATCACGTTCACGGAGTTACAGAGAATCGCCAAAGCGACCAACAAATAATTATGAAAGCCTTCCAAAAAGTCATAAAAGGGTACGATCTGGTTCTGAATCATCGGAAGAAAGTGTACGAGAAGTTGAGCGGTTGCCGTCACATAAGACGACCACCCGTGAATCGCCCGAAAGCGAAAGAATCCGAATCAATACTCCTGGCAAATCTAAAAGAATTGGAATTAAACCAAAAATCGAAGAGCTGGTTATGAACAAAAAAGAGAAAGAAATTAGAAAGAGCTCGGACGATGATCCATACGAACCGGTAAGTCGTGATGATACGCCTCAGGAGCAGCGAAACGCGAGCACTGCCGACAGTGGATCGTCGCGAGAAGCGAAATTGCACATGTTATGTACTATGGGTTTGGTAAAAGAAAACGAGAAAAATGCTCTGCCAAATGAGTATATCGATGAAATATGGGATGCAGTTTGCAAAGTAAGGAAAGAGAAAATAAACTCTGAGATGGAAAAATTGACACCACAGGGTCGACTGGAACAGAAGATTAAAATGGCGGTTGACGGGAGGATTAGTAATATGTACCCGAAAGCGGACGAGATTTTGTCGAGTCAAAGAGAGGCGAAAAATGGCAAGGGTAGATTTCCGGACTACGCAAATAAAGCGGGAATGAAGACTCCGACTATTGACATCGGAGAGCGGAAACAAGTGGCAGATGCACTGACTGTGAGAGAAAGGCAGATCCAGTTATTGAAGGAGGAACTGGAAACGGTGGAAAGGGTAAGTAGTTTGAGTTGTTTTTGTAACAGACGGCACAGCAGAAGTTAGTTTAGTCTCAAATGACGAAGGTCTGCAGGTCTAAATTGTGTTTGTGCTCATCTGTTCTCTGTACACTTGCGAGGGCAAATAACTTTCAATCGGGAACCAGACATTTTTTCCGTAAATAACTTTTCTTACATTTGTAAGAAATTGAACTTGCTTTATTATGTGACCTTTTATATCTTTCCTGATACTTGCCATATGGTCTGGAGGTGATGCAGTTGCCTTGGAATCCTTTGGACTGGGTTGGAGTCCCGGTCGTACTTTTTTTCGTATATATGAATCTGAAATTTTTCCGATAAATTTGCATTCTCGGCCCATTGTTTGTCTGCCTATGCTTTGACACAAAACGAATTTTTCTTCCGCTGCAAGGCCTTTTTCCTGTGACTGCAAGAAATATTGATTCTCTCCTGTAATTTTGAATTTACTAGATCTGGCTCTACATATTTTCCTTTTTTCACTTGAAATTATCATTCGGCCTACTTGGTATCGCCATATGCTGTATCGGCTTAGTCAACTTGTTTTGTGTCGTTTGAAGGGCAAAAAATAGTTGTTTACTTATTTAAGGTCAGTTGTCGTAGAAAAAATCAAAGTTTCGCTCAAAGTTTTTAGTTTTAATGGCGACAATGTCTTACGGTTTTTTTTCGTTTTCGGCTCAACGATCGTCTAACACTTATTGTCGGCTTAGCGGCCCCTCGATAAGCAGTAAAAGCCAATGAATCCTGGTGTTTGTGTTACCGAATGTTTTTGTAAACTTGAACTTTTGTTTAAAAAAAAAACTGTTTTTTTTCAACGATTGTTTTGACTTAGTTGTTTCCGTCAGTTGATGTAGTATATGTTGAGGCTCTTAAACATTGCTGTATTGACAAACTCAATAAATACTACTTCGGTCTCTGTTCGATGGCTAGCAATGCTATGCTTGCTTCATATTGTAAGTGGTACGAAGTTCCAGCTCGCCTCTGTTATGAAGTTCGGTTCCTTCCAATCGATTTTTTTATTACCTTCGTAATTAGCAAATGCTTTGCAACCGGGCACTATACTTTTTGCCGTAAATTTGTGCTCTGCCGCTAGTTTAGACCTTTCTGTTTCTGAAATGGGTTCTATTATATCACGTTTATTGACAACTCGTGATATAATAGGTTTAATTAGGAAAGCTTGATCCAAGAAAGAATCAATTATGCGTCAGTTGTAATAGGTTGTGTCTGCTAGAAGACTAATTTTTCAATTTTTCATCGGCTATCCTTATTTTTATTTGGAAGTGGTGCGAAGATCAACTTTGCCTCTGTGTCTAAATACTAAAATCAGTTGAACCGCAATTTTTGGAGAATGGAGTTAACAATTCTAGATTTTTTTTCGAAAACGACTGCTACGGACTTTTCTCTATTCGCTTCTGTTGGAAATTGTTGCCCAATTTAAATGATCCTTCGATAAAATAAATCCAATTTCTGTGGTTTAAGCAGAAATGTCCACGCAACCACTAAAAAGAATTGACTACAGAATTCTGTTATAGTCTAGAATTAGATTTTACTCTGAAATAGTCGAATTTGGCCTCTTTGTAGCCTTCATGGTGAAGTCTATGAGAGCCATTGTATTTTTGGACATCGTTTTTTTAGGCGATTGAGAAGCAGTTCCGTGTTGGCCGAGGGGAGAGAGACGAGGAAGTTCTGAGTGAACAGATGCGACTGGGGGCTGAACTGAAGAGCAAGATATCTCACATGCAGAGAGACAGAGAGGCGCTCAAGGCCAAACTAGTCACTCCCAGGTCGCCCGTCAAACCCGAGACATCATCGCACAAACTGAATTCTAGCAGCACAAGTGATATGGTTAGCCGCTATCATTTCACATTTTCAGACTGGTTACCGTTTCTTAATGTTTGTCTTTCGTTTAAAAACACATTTTTAAACGAAATTCTGGTATTTGTATTGTTTTTATATTTCTAAAAAGTTCCAGGAACATCATTAACCCCCGGGATGTACCTACACCTTATTGGGTTCTTTGGCGCGCAAAATTTGGTTCAAGATTGCGCAAAAAACTCACCCAGGATCTTCAGAGCAAGGGAACAAAAAAGAGAGAAAGTTTGGCATTCCGAATTGTATCAACCGCAAAGAAGACTGACTCTTGATTAAGTTTCAACTTTCAAATGAAACTTATTTTAGATCAAGTGAGCATCCGTCACCCCAGAGCGGTTCAGAAGGGTGAGGTTGAATATTAACGCAGTCCCTGTTTTTTTTTCCAGGGTGCGTTCAATGGTGGCGTGGGTGGTGCTGATAGTGACAATGCAGCAGTTATGCTTGATCTGCAGTTTGACTACTATGACGGAGGGAGGCACTACTGTAGAATGTGTGATGACACATCCAACACAATCATTCACTTCCTCACACACCTACACTCCACAAAGCACAGAGAGGTCAGACAGCTAATGATTGAAAAAAAATGTCTAATCGAAGAAAATATTTTAATCTTTGATGAGCATGTGCATTATTTCGATGTTTCTGAATTCTGTGTTTCCGGGTACGGGAACACGTTTCAATGTTAACCTTTTTTTTTATTTGTGAGTGTAAATTTTCGAAGTCATTGATGACGACCTGTTTACATGCAGTCTCGATGGAACAATCGTTTAATCGAGTTTCTAATAATTGTTTTTAAACAATACTTGCCGAATTTTTCGATAAAAAATAGTTGCTCGTTTTAGATTGCAAGTGTGTATGGAGACCGTCCTTGGACTAAATTGAGAGAATCGAAAGTAGAGAGAAGAACAGGCGCCGACCTATCCCCAGAGCCCATCAGTGGTTTGTACTTGTAAAGTAGACAAAAGTCCAACTACATCTGAAAAAAAATATCTCGAAATTGAGGCAGTTATAATGTTTAAAATATGTTTTCTTCCATCATAAGCGTTTCCATAGCAAGTACTTGTTAAGTATTAACCAATTGTGACGGCCTTTGTCCCAATTTAAAAAACGAATGTATTGGTTTCAGGAACCGAGTTTGTGATTCCGACGTTGGGTTTCTTCTGCAAGCTATGTTGCGAATTCTCGGGTGACGTTGCCGACTGCGAAAACCACGTGATGAGCGAGCGTCACAACCGAAACTACCGGGTAAGTTCATTGTCTTCCCGTGTTGCTTGCTCCTATATTTTTAACTTTCAGGATTTTTCAGCGCCGATGTTCATCTTGCCGAATGTTCGAAGAGTAGAATTGAGGATCGATTTGGCTACTCAAATTTGAAGCGAAAGCGAAGTATTCTAGTTGGATTTTGCCGCTAGCAAGAAATAACAGTTTGATATTTTATAATTCTGCTCAATTTTAATGTGTTACTGTCTAATGTGTGTTGAAAATTTCTAGGGTTCGTTAACGAACGCGTTTATTATTCCAATGTGATTTACGGCTTGCCTGTCATTGTACTTCGAGGTATTATTGAACTACTTTTTTACCGTTTTATGCGACTTTTTTCCTTGGAAATTTCACTGAAGTATGTTTCAGGAACATCTGAAGAAAAACAAATCTTATGAGCAGAAACTCCGACTTGAGCGAAAAGGAAGCTGGCAGCAAATCTCCCGCTCGAAAAGCCGAGACAAGCCGAAACAAATTGACGAGTTGAGTATGATTCAATCCCCTGAAAGTGTCAAGCACGAAACCAAAGAGATATACGATGATGCGTTTGGGCTGAATAAACTCGTTGATGAATCTGTGAAAAAATACGGCAAACATGAGCAAACAAGGAAAGCACGAAGTAATTCGTCAGAGTCTGATTCAGGTGATAATAAAAGTCGAAGTAAAAGCTCAGCGAATAAGTCGAAGAAAAATTTTGCCGAGGAAGTAGCAGGAAAACCGAACTTTACAGTGACCATAAATAGAAGTGATGACGAAGAAGAGATGACGCAACCGAGTGAGCCAAGAGGGAACTCCGGAGTTCGGAGAGACGAGAAGGAGGTTGAAAAGGAAGAGTCTGACGACGGAGAAGCGTCGGAGGAGTCGATTATAGGTGGAAAATGGAAAGAAGTCAAACCGCCGGTAGGTTCAGTTCGAAATTTCAAAAATTCAGAAATTTATGTAAATTTGAAGATTTTAATTAGATGCATTTCTTTCTTTTGAAAAAATTTATCAAAACATTATTTTGGTTTTCATAATCATTATTTTGGTTTTCTGAGCTAAAGCCTGCATTTTCATTTTTTTTCCAAAACCGCTTGACCTCTTCAACAAACGAATGGGTTTAAATTTGTTTCAGAGCGAAATCAGTAGCCGCAAAAGCGTTGAAATGTCAATTTCTAAATCGAAATCAAAGTCGTCTCCCAGTCCATCTCCGCCGCCAAAAGCATTCAGAACTGAAAATCGGATAAGATCCGAATCAAGGTCTCCGTCTCCCAGGAGAAGATCGAGGTCCAGATCTGCCTCCCGTGATAAGAGAACATACCAGCATAAACGGTATTACAAGTCACCACCTAGATATAACTACGGATACCAGAACTCAAGGTATAATAGTGATCGTCACAGGGACCACAGGAATCGGGATCCGAGAGATAACTACATTCGAAATCGGTATTCGAGGTCTCGCTCTGACTCTAGACGTCGGCAAAGCAGTAACTCAGAGGAAAGAAATGACCGCAAACGGCAGTATTCGCCCAAACGCAAGCGATCTCCCTCAAGTGCAAGCAGCGAAAGAGAGCAAACGCCACCAAAACGGATTAAACGAGATCTGAACGAACCTATTTCTTGGAAAACGGAACTGGTTGATAAGCAGAAAGAACCAGACAATGCACAAACTATGTCTAGTTTTGCATTAAAAAAGATCTCGCTGGCGTTGACAGGAAATGACCAGTATTTCACTGAAGAATCGAAAGATAAGCAGCCCAAGTTTGGGTTCATGGAAGTTCAACCGAGTAATGAAGATCTAGATCCAGCTAAACGAGACAATAAAGAGTCGATCAGTTTCTCGATCAGCAAAGAAGACAAGCTCAAGAAACAGATTCTGGAGACCAAGATTTTCAGCCAGATACATAAACCGAAAACGAACAAATCCAGTAATAAGTGAGTTATACTTTGAATCTTAATCAATTTAACGTACTGCGCTAAGAGTAGCGTTATTTAACATAATCAGTTGAAAGTTTTGTTAACGGTTTTGTTTTGTCAAAATATAGCTCCGTAGTTTTAATTTCATCGTTTCAATTTGTTTTTTGAAACAAATTTTCCTGCTTTTACTGGCAGTTCAACAAAAAACTAATGTTTTAGTAGCGAAAGCCAGACAGGAAAAATGAAATCGTTTACTGGGAAGAAAAGTTCAAACAACCCGGCTTCTCAACAAGCCCAGGGCAGCACAATTCCCCCTGCCAATGCACCACCTGCGACTACTGATGCTGCTGCTGGTTTTTCGGGCATGACGCCTATCGGCCAACTGAGCCATGAACAGAACTACGATGACGACCCACCTCCACCTGGAATGGAATGAACGGATGATAGAAAAATGATTCGATTTCGAAGTGATCATTTCTGCAGTAAAACTAGCTTATTGTAAGCGGCACCATGAATTTAATATATTGTATTGAGGTTCAATTCACATTTATTGCTTTTTGACATATGAAGTTATTACCAAAAAACTGATCATTTAAGCGATCTCGTAGCTCTTACTGAACGTCTGAAAACACTTCGTAGGTCATAGCTGTAATAAGCGCAAAATAGTTTTCGTTTCAAAAAAGTGTTTTTGCGTTTTAAAATAAGAATTGTCTTCAAATGGCGAGTTATAAAAAGTGCACACTGGTTTGGTTCTAGCATCGCATATTCTTATCAAAATAAACTCAGCAAATTTTTCTTGTAATTAATAGTGTTTGAGGGTGTTATTACTGGCAAAACATTTTTTTTTCGACTAATTCTCCGCAGAAAGTTGCAGCTAGTTTTCAGCTGCTGACGTGCTTAATTTTTTTTGAAATTTCAGCAATATACTTTTGGATATGATTTTTACTCAAGCAAAGCTTGTGTTACAGTATGAACTCTCCTTTTTTCCAACCTAAGTCGCAATATTGTTGCGACAAATATTGCTGCGACAAAATGTGTTCATTTTTATCAAAAACCAGCTATTAAGTACAGCCAATGCTAAGGATATTAACACACTATTATATTACAAATAGCACACTATTTTCAAGGTATCATGTATCTGTGGCGTAGAGGTAGAATAAAATATTCTTGAAACTCAAACTACTATAACGTGGTATAATTATTCTTAAGAAAATCGAAAGTTGAAAATGGTTTAAAAAAGCTGAATCAATTTTTTTTCTTGAGTTCATTGTCATTATTCAGACTGATTTTTGGCTACGGTTTGATGATTGTTCGGGGGCATTTAGTGTTTTTAATCAGGTACCACAGAAAACTATCGGAAAGTGCTGAGTGATTTATCAAGTAAAGGCTCTTTAAATCGTGATTCGAACGCGTTTATATTTTCAGTTTAAGTCTAACTTTGAGCAAGCAAAGCAAGTGCTGAGCTGAAATATTGGGTAGTGTTGCAAATTAATCAGCGAAATTTAATTATACTCCAGTTTTCAGAAAGTAAAATTTTGGAGTACGTTTTCAAATTTAGTTTCTTTCCTTGTATATGGGTAAATGGTGTCGATAATGCCCAATATAATGTTACAACTGAATATGCCTAATTTCTAAGCATTCGTTCAGATCCTCTCATCGTACTACTTATAAAAAAGGACACTTTTTGAAAAAAAAATTTTTTCTGTAACTAATATATTAATGGGGTCTGTTCTTTATGCTGTTTGCACAGCATCCTTTAATCCTTGTTCGTAAAAGTAAATAAACTATGTTGGCTTTCATATATTATTAAAGCGTATGGCTCGATGAGTTTTTTAAAATAAAGTAAACATGTCCAGGCTGAATTTTTGTTACTTTAAAAGCTTGCAACTGGGTTCAAATTCACGTCAAGTTTGTGGAAAGTATTCAAATTACGCTCTCAACCATCGAAAGCACAAATAGCTTGAGAAAAGGAGAGGGGGATTTTTTGCAAATGTGACCTACGGTTTTCTGTTTATACTAGCGGAAAACAACTCGAGCTATCAAGTTAATTTCATTAAGAATTTTTTCGGCCCTAAAAATTGCAAGCCACTGCAAGAGCATGATATACTTATACTTCGTAATGTATAAACAAACAGTCTGTCGTGTTTTGTGATTGTTTGGGATCACAGAGTCTTCCGCCCCTCAATTGGCTACGTATTTGGGTTGAAATATTTTTACACTAGCGTTAGCTTAATGTATTTTTACGAAACTTCTTTTTTTCTAACCTAATCTGCCAAAAAACGTGTTCAATAAAAGTGTTCACTTACTGGGATATTTCAGTAGCATAGGAAATTGCATAGCATCTGTTCTCTGCTTTGTTTGTGACTAGTGTTTGGCTTTTACGTATTAGTGCTTCTGTGGCTGAGTAAATAGGGCATGAGACTTTTGTGGGCGTAGCGATTAACATGTGTTCCTATTAGCATGCGATAATTCCTTCAACTGGATGTGCTTACTGACGAAAATGAAATTCGCTCAAAATTTCAAAATATTTCAAAAAATGCTTGATTTTTAAACCGAGTTACAATTCCATTTTCGCCATTAGCAAATTTCAGCAAAGAAAACGTGAAACAAGTCTCGAATTTTTCTAAGATTCGAATCTGCGCCCTAGAGATTTAGAGTCTCGGGGGCCGGCCTGTTAGCATGTGTGCCAATTAGCATGACCATTGAAAAGAATGTTATTTAAAAACTCGCTTTTTCATATTTTGTTTGCCTCAATCAGTGTACTGGGCAATAGGCCTGTCACCGAGACTCTTAATCTCTAAGTCGCAGGTCCAAATCATAGATGTAGTCGAATTTTTCGCTACTTCGAGGCCAATTACTACTTTTTCTGGTTGCACTTTGTAGAACTGCTTTTTTTTTCGTGTTCTCGCTAGTGTTTGTGAAGCGACGCTTCGCTTCTGTGTAAAACTAATATTTTTTTTGCTTACCATGTTTTTCTTTCATCAAAAGAACTTCATTTATCAAAAGAACTAAAAAAAACTTCTGCATAAGCTCCTAAAATTGCTAAATTAGGGTTTCTTGTTTTTACGTTTTTTGCTGAACTAGAAGCTTAAAATTATTAGTCAAGTTTTTTCGAAGATAGTTATAAAGGAGTTGAGTTGCCTAAAAAATTACAATATGTTGAAATGATATCAAATTGAAAAAATTGGTCCGGGAAAAATTCACAAACGTTTTTGTGAACGCGTCCTGAAAATTGAAATAACCTCATCATAATTTAAATACTATTTCGAGCTGGCGGAAAAAAGAATCGGAATTTTTTCTCAACATATACTTGCCTTCTTAAAATTAATTGCACTTCATCAAAAATGCGAGTAACAAAATTTTTATCACTTGGACTAACCAGCGCTTTCAAATTGGAATCTACACTTTTTCAGGTTTGGAACTTGTTCAACAAACACACTAAATCATTTGATAGTATGATTTTCAATGAATTCAAGTTTTTCAGCTTCTCCGTTACACATAGCTTAGCTTTAACGAGCGAATCCGATTGGGACGGCAAAAATCCTGTTTTGGATCCGGTCAGGTTCGAATCCATTTTTTGAACTGAAATTTCACATTCTGGACAAATTTTCGGCTTGCTCGACCGTCAAGACTCAGTCGCAACGAACGACTTATTGGCTGTCTGTTTAGTTTTTACGGCATATACTTTTGATGTAATAAGTAATTCTTTGTAGTTGAAATTATTTTTGATTCATTCCTGTAATTTGTAAGGCTAGTAACCCTTTACGTAATTAAAGTCTTCTTTAACGCTTAAGCTTCATTCAGACCATTGTTGTTTTATAATATTTCCGTTTAGTTACCTGAATTCGCGCCGTTCAAAAGGAAACAACAGCAAGAGAGCGTAAATTTTCAAATTATCAGAACTTTATAGTTCTTAGTTTTTATGAAAACAATTTTGCTTTTGACTACCCAATTTCCGTCGGCTTAGCCTCCGCGCGGAAGATAATTTTTATTTTTTTACGAATAGTTATTTTGTTGCTGAAAGTAGTTTCCTCATGAATAACATATCCGAGAAAAGCATTTGGAAGTTTCATACTTGTGGTTTTTCGCAATTTTACAATAATTTCCGACTAGTTCAAATTGTATAAAATATTTCGACCGTCTACAAATCAATTTCTAAATCCTACAAAAATCAGATTTTAAAACTGTGTTCAAGCTTTTCTTGAGGCTTCTGTGAAGATTTGGTTCGGCTCCAGCCCGGTGGCTACAAATTTTATCAAAAGTTTTATAAGGACTGCTTCTTAAAATAAATTAGCCTTCTTCTTAAAACTTTTCGTAAAAATGCAAAGATGTTATCAAAATTCATTATTCTGTGAAACAATTTGACAAAGTTTTATAAAGCAAAAATGTATCTCAAACTTGCTTCACAATTCCTCGAATGTAATCAAAATCTTAATTTCATCTAAATTTTGTACCACAATAAATCATCACAACATAACATTGAAATAACACCACAGGATTGTTTGACTTATTCTTCAAGACTCAGCCGCAACTAAGCATTTTAATTGATGTTGTGTAGATATAATCTGGATCAGCTGACGCGTAGTTGAATGTACTTTTCTTCTTTTTGGTTCTTTTTGCCTCAGCGGGAGTCAAACCAGCGTGACTTTCCTGATCCCCCCACTTTGAACTTCCTGAGGGAAGGAAACTTCCAGCTGAACTTCTTGTCCACCCCCAATCCGCCTTCAAATAGAGAAGAATCGAAAAAGAGTTTTCTTTTTAAATAGGTTGTTTTCATGGGTAAACTGTTTTAACAGACAATTAACCTGTAACCATCCTATATGTTTTGACCTTTTTTTTGTGGCACAGGACAGTTATATCATGGAAAATTATATGGGATAAACTCCGCATGGGATAAACAAAAAGATCTGAACAAAAAAAACGTAGGTATATTTGACAGTCATAGCAAAAAGGGCATTCGGAATACAGTTTTTGAAGAACATTGACTAGAGAAACGAAAACTAATTGTAAAAAAAAAAACAATTGAATAAAAGTTGTAAGAAATTTTTCAACATTTTTTGCAGAAGTGTTTGGAACTTTCAAGCTTTGTTTGCAGAATGGCGCTAAGAAACTCCACTATTTACTTTTATTTGAGTACAACTAAGTTTTCGCGGCTTAAAAGAAGCTTAAACAAGCATAGCCGGTTACTGTGCAAGTACCAGAGTATGTTCCGACCAGTCTTTGAAAAATACAAGAAAAAAAAACTTTTTCTTTCAAATTAGTGTCGTTTTTTTCTGCATGGTGTAATAAAACGATCTGATTGATAGAAAACTTACGAATTTTGACAATCATAGCAAAAAAGGCATTCGGAATACAGTTTTTGAAGAACATTGACTAGAAAAACTTTTAAAAAATAGTAAAGAAAAACAATTAAGTAAATTAATCTTTGTTTAGAAAATGGGCTAAGAAACTCCAAAAAACTACTTTGATTTGAGTAAAAAGAAGTGAATAAGTTTTTGAATTTTTAAAAGTCGTTCGAATCACGATTGAAAGGGCTTTATTATGATATATCACTCGATCCATTCCCATAGTTTTTTAAAGTACCTGATTTTGCGCGGAAACACACAAAAACTAAAATACACCCGAATACGAAATTCCTTCCCGTTTTTCAAATGATCGGAACAATAAAAAGTTTTCTCGATTTCATATCTGAGATTGTTTCATGTATTTCAGGAAAAAAGTCAAAACAATGCCTTGAACGAATCAGCAAAAACAGCAAGTCAATACCCCCCTAAATCCGCTTCTGAGTCAATCAAAGTTTTTTGATTCAAAAATTGTACTTGCTCTATTTGAATGAAGCAGTTGTAAAACAATATGCGTAAGAGCCTGTTTTTGCAAGTTTTTGTAAAATATGGGTTTTCTCTAAAATGATGCTTTACTCAAAGGTGGAACAAAACAACTGGATATAATGATCTGAAGATTTTTTTAGGAATAATTTTGTTCCACCTAAGTTCGACACGATCAGAACAGCATGAGATTTAATTAGCTGTGTTTTGAGCATCGTATAAATGAGATTATCGAGGTATTCACCCGCACCAGAGCTTCATTTGAAAAAAATTAAATATATTGTCAACTTTTGGACAATCTCTATAAAGTTTTAAGCTAATTGACAAGAATCGATTCAAATTTGATTAAATCTTTTTTTTTTAAAACAGATAATAGAATCTTTTTTAAATTGATTATAATCGATTGTGATAGTTTTTTTTCTGAAATTAGCCAGAAGTGTAAAAACTTGTTTTCAGTAAACTCTAAACTTGAGTGTTGCTGGCGTAAAGAGGCGTTGAGTCAACCAAAAGGAAACCTAATAAGTTCAAGGACTGTTGTCTTTTTTTCTTCATTATTTTTAATCTAATTTTCTTTACAATTTTTTTGTTTTTTAACTTTTGCTCTGTTAATGTCTTCACAAGTCTGCATCCTTGCCGTTATGTAACCATCGGGAATTCGACATTGTATCTCTATTTGATAACATTTCGAAAAATGAGTAAATGTCTTTTTCCCCTTTTTTATACAATGCCGAGAAAATTTTTGAATTGTTTCAAACAGCACCCTATGCCTTTTTTCAGCCATTCATTCAATTTTTAGTGTGAGTTCAAAGAGGAAAGTGGGTTTTTTTTCTAAAAAAAATTCTGCAAATGCTTTTTTGGCTTGTTTCTTCAACGTAGAAAAAACTTGGTTTTTTTTAAAAACTTCATGTCATCTATTTTTTTCGGGCGGGGGGTGGTTTACGGGGGGTGTTCATTGAGAACAAGAATATAACAAAAACTCAGAAATTAGATTAGAGGATGATAAATTAGAAACCGAGTTTGCTGTGAGAAATGAAGAAAAATATGCGAATTGTGCAGCAAGTTTGGAAAACATTTATACAAATCACAATCCACAAAATCCTTGAAAATAATGATTTATAATCGCTTACGTGTTCCCAAATTGTAATGATGAACGACTATTATAGCAATATTTTTGAATATGGAAATCGATTATAATCGAGTTTTATTCATAGAACCTCAGTGCGGGCAGTCTTGTGCTAGACTTCGCTCTTTTAGTTGTCGAGTCTGATATATTTTAGAATATTTTACTTAGCAATGAAATTTCTGCACCGAAGTTTCCGCAAAAAAAATATGTTCCGGAATTTTTGTCAAAATTGTTGCCATTTTAATTAAAAAAAAACTGTCATCAATTTAGGCAACAATTTCTATTATGAAAGCGAGACAACGGATTATTTTCAAAACAATTATAATGCATTATCATAACATTTAAATCTATTTTACCTCGATTCAATAGCAAAAAAAATTTTTTCGTCATAAAATTGCCATGAAATCTTTTTTTTTTGTCGTCAGAAAATCCTGAACTTTATTCGAAAGTACGATTCAGTGAAAACATGAACTTATTTTTAAAATAAAAACCGAGGCACAGCAAGCTTTGCAATTTTTGTCAAATTTTGAAAGAACTTTTAAATAATTTTAAAGCATTGCGACCAAAAAATAATTTGAAAAACATCAGAAACTTTTTCAAGTTTTTTTGCGATAATGTTTAGATTCATAGCTGTTTAAAACAAAGAATTGAGGCACCAGAGTGCAGTTTAATTTAAAATCAAGAGCAACAAAAAGGGAGCACTGCAATCATAAATTAACAAAAATGAAAAATCATCAGTAAAAATCCAAAGCAATCCTCAATCCTCCCTCCCCCTATGCATTCACACTGTGTAAGTTAGAACAATGGGCGTGAAAGGGTGTGGGCGATGTGGGGGTTAAAAAATTTTTGAACGATGAAAAACAAGCTTTGATCAAAACTTGCAATGTTCAGGTCGGGTTTTTAATGGTTAAATAGGTGGAGGTAATTGACGGGCAGCAAAAAAATAAGAAACTGAAAAAATGTTAAAGAAAATTAGGAAAAAATTGTGAAGAGGAAAAGTAAAAAAAATAACCAAACTGATTTTCACTTCAAATAATGCAATTTCTGTTTTGCGAAAGCAACGCTCAAGTTTTGAATTTACTGAAAAAGTATGAGCATGACTTACCTAATATGAAATTCTTTAAACATCAATTTTTTGTAAATGGTTAATGGAAGATGTCTCTTCTCGATTGATTGTTAAGCTGAAGTTTTTCGTTGAAAAATTTCGAACCAGTGTTGTGAAAACGTTTTTATTATTAAAACCCGTAGTTGTTGGTTTCCAACCGCTGTTTTTCAAGCAGCATTAAGGCTGGTTTGTTACAAGGCTTCAGATACGAGATTTGTTCTACTGACCATTATGAACGTTCCTCATAGAGAGTGAATTGACGATCTTCGTGGATACTAATTGAGGTTGAGTAGTCAGTTGTAGCACTACAATCAGACACGTGAACAGACTCAGAGTCTTGATAAAGCTGCTCTTTTGCAGGGAAACACGACACATGCTATGGTTAAATGGAGCAAGTATAATAGAGGGGTCCCAAAATTAAGGATGGTTTTCTAATGAAAGTTGGTCGAGAAATAGTCAACGAAATTGAAAGATATCTGATACGTTGAAAAGTTATCATTAAAAAAATATAAGGAGGAACCTTCTAAAATATTTACCCCGATCTATGGTACCTAGTTCGGACTATTCAAGGTTGAGCATATGCAAATTTTGTACTCCTCCTAGGTATCTGCCTTCTTTTACAATAGGGGGAACAAATGACAAAATCTCTTCAGTCATATTGGGTTCTAATAAAAGTTATACTGCTAATAAAATTTAAAGTCTTCTCATATTCATCTTTTTTCCGGCTGCTATCAGAAAATTAAAAAGCCGATTATGAGAGTACTTTACATTTTATTAGCAGTAAAACTTTTATTGGGACCTTTTTAAGCTGATTCAGTTGTAGTTTTGCAGTATTTACAGGAAATTATGCAAAATATGATCAAATTGGATTTCTAGCAAGAAAACCACTTCGTCCATTAAGACTTGAAAATAAAATTATTTTTTTGACCCATTTTTCCTCGCAAAGACAGGTACCACAATTAAAGATCAGATCGGTTCGAGTTATATTACATATTAAAGCCATTCAAATCAATATCTATTAATTAATCAAATCAAAGTAAATCCATTTGTAACATTCTAAGCTTTCTTCAGGCACAAAAAGCGAAAGTTATACATTGAAAAATTAAAAAACAAAGAAAAATTTGCTTTTTATAATTTCTAAAAAAGCAACTGCGGTCGGAACCTTCTGCGCTACTTGCGCTTACTTGCCACTATGATTTCACCTGAAATTTCACTTCGGAGGAGATAGTATTTTTCCATGCTTGAGCTTCCTGGGAACCCATGTATTATACTTGAACTTGAACAAGACTGTCGGAAAATTGAAAATTAAAATAACAGGAACAGAGTTCTAAAAATAAATTAGTTCTGCTTTCCGAGAGTAAAAGTTGAGAAGACTAAATTGCTCTTTTTTGGGCGTTAAGAGTAGCGAGAAATCCACTTTAATATATTGAGATCTGTCGGCTTCCGACAAAGGATTATAGAAAGCAGAATACGAATATATTAGCTGCGATGACTAGAGGCTTTTATGATAATAGGGTCTATTTTTGCACTTTGTAGTTAAGTTGCTCTATTTTGTTAAATGGTGGTTCGAATCAACACTAAACCTATATTCTTTTTGAACTTTAGGAAAAAAAGGAGCTACAATCTATGGCCCGTATAAGTGACTGAATCGTGGTAATAATCTAGGATTAGCTAACTTAAGAGAGACTGATAAGCTTTTCGCTTTTGTGGCTATTTCTCAGGGGAAATAGGCACCGATATCTCAATCTGGAGGTAATAATCGAGAGATAAAACACCTGAGAAAACTAGATTATTACTTTTCAAGCTCAGTCACACTTTTGGGTCTTTTTTGTTACATGGTCCATGTTTGATGATTTTGACTTCTTAAAAATTAAGTCATAATGCCTGAATCTTATTGGTCAGGGGTAGTGTAAGGTTTCCTTAAGTAGTTTTTTTGAGGATGATCTGGAATAATGTATTTAAAGTTCAAATTTCAGATCTGCGCTGGTTTACAAATGACTATACTAACGCTTGGATGCTTAAAAATGGGTTATTTCAGATCGAGTTCACAAATTCTGTTTTTCATGGTTACTTCATATCTGAAAATACCTAATTCAGATCTAAAAATATGATCTGAAGTTTTGTTTTTCATATTAATTTTTTGTTTGAAAAAATCTGAATCCTTCTTACCTATTTTTGGTCTAAAAATTTTGTTAGGGACCTATTTGAAAAAAAAAATCGGCTATTTTGTTTGGAAAATTATTTATTTTAACAGGTGCAATTCAATTAAAAACCTAAAATCAAATAAAAACATCACAAGAAATTTTTGTAACGAAATTATGGCACAATATGGCAACATGAAAACTAAAAGTAAAAATGACAATTTTCATAATTACATAACTATGGTACTTTATGGCAACATGAAAGCTTTGACAACAAAATTGATAATTTACAAATTCCTGATCCCCTCAAAAGCAATAAAAATTCAAAAATATTTCAAAATGAAAAATAAAAGTTTTCTTCGAATACACGACACCTAACAAAAGTTTTAATTTTAGCAACATTTTGTATCAACTTTAGAGATGATATGCAATTTCAGATATCAAATTCTTAAATTCCGAAATTTCTTTGATTGTTTCGGGCCGTATAATAATAAAAAAAAACAATTTAGATTTTTTGAATTCCTTTAAAAAAGATAAAGTTGAGCAAGAGAAATACTGAAATAATGGAAGGCAAAATCAGCATCAATTATGTAAGTTCATCGAAGCTTGAACAATCGGCCCGGGTGAATAAACGTCACGTTGTTGTCAGAAAACATCCTTGTAGATTAGATACGAAGTCAGTTGAATGACAACCGACCATCTCTTGCAATTATACTACCGGATGGTAGATTGATTCAGACCAGCAGCAATAAATTGCCGGCTCCTATGAAAACCAGTGTAAGCATCATTATTGGTTGCGTAACAGTTCTGTACAGTTTATGTGTTATTATTCTGCAGTTATGTTTTTCATGATGCAATTATCAAAAAATTTCAAACGCAACGTATTCTAATTATGTCTGCAGTTTCTAGACTCCGCCCATTTTCGACTTAAAATTATTTCCAACTGCGTTTCGGCCAGATGCACTCTTAAGACTCGTATTTACTCAAAAGACTCGTATTTACAGTTGACCAAAACGGGGGCAGGTGGGGGTAGTTAAGTATGACATAAGAGGCTGAAAGAAGTGTCTTATCTCTTTCTTCTGTGGTGTTGGATGTTGGTATGATAATGACTTGCATTTTTTCCCCCCGAATGTTCCATTTGAGCCAGTTTGACTAATGAAGTGCAAATGTGATTAACAGGAACAGGGGGCTTTTATGACTTGCTTATGTGAGTGGAAATAAAGAACATATGGAGGAGAATAAGTTATCGATAGTAGTGATAAAGAATCGATAAATCATAGGCCTAATTAAAAATACTATAGGTCAGGATATTACATCAAAGAAAGCAGCATTTCATTAAATTAACAAGCGTTTTTTTGCATGTGTGAGTAGATATTTAGAAATGACGCAAAGCACCCCTTAAGTCATGAATTGCTTCATTTCCCGGTCAAGACTTTATGGAGCGACTTTCACCCGCTGCGCAACTGCAAAGTTTGGTTTAAAAACGGTTTTCGTCCCAACTTTCCAAGTATTCTTAAAACTAGCGGACCTCAAAGGCGCCTTTTTAGCGTGATTATTAGCTATGATTATTTGGGGATCAGAATTCTTGATTTTTTCGATTCAATTCACGTGATACTTGGTTATAGAAGTCTTAATACATGTGATGCTTAGTTATATGCTTCGATCAACCTTGATTCAGCGTGTTGATGTCCGAGTTAAATTGATTCGCTCGCCGAATCATTCAGAACTTGAAAAAAAACTTTAAGGTTAACTCATTTGAAAACAAAATCCAGATATCACATGGCGCAGCCACGAGTATTCTTCAACCAGTAAAAAAAGGACGGTTTTGGGAAAACCAGTATTCTGGGATACCACATCCCCTTGTTTTCGAAGAGTTCGTAGGATCAAATCATAGTAACAGTCACATTCAAAGAAAAAGTAAAACATAAGAATAATTCTAAACAATCTACGACGGTTATTTTGAAACCAATTCCAATTCCCAAATTCCTCATAGCGTTCGAGTCAACAACTGATGCGGTGAAAAAAGAATGATAGAAAAAAGATTTGTCAAAGAAAAGGTAGCTGCGAAAAATGCAGAAAAAACGGCTAAATACCCGAGAGTAGGTCTTTATGTGTTATACAATTAAGTACAACTTCGAAAAGTGTCCCAACTATTTGTACCCGCACCTGAAAAAAAAGAAAAGAAATTGATTCTAGTGGATTTTTGTGGTCAAAAACGTTACAAAATAATCGACTCCCATGCTTAGTTATTGAATGAAAAAATTAATTAAAATCCATTGTTTTATCGAATTTAAAATTAAAAGTCCATTCAAAATCATTTAAGTTTTTTTCGACTTCAATTTTGTTTCGCATCTTGCATAGTTTTGCTATTTTTTATGCTTTATCAAATGAGTAATGCAAAAATTTTGCAAAAAGAGTGTACGGCCTACTCGATTTCTAAAACTTAAGTTTGTGAAATTGTAAAAAAAAATCCATTCCATTCCCAAACCCCCTCAGCGTTGGACCTTTGCAATCTTACAACACCCCCTCCCCCCCCCCCCACGCTTGTCCTTTTCACTTTTTCAACAAATTGGATTATGTTTCGACCAATTTCGACCAATCCAGATAGAATTTGACCGGCGCGACAAAAAACATCTATTTTCATCCAAGTTCGACCAATTCTTACATGCTATTGTTTTTTTTTGTAAATGAAGCACAAACTTAAAATTTTTTTTGTAATTGAAGCACAAACTTAGAAATGATTTTCATTATTTTTTTTTGCAGATTTTTGTAATTGAGGCACAAACTTAAAAATGATTTTCGTTATTTTTTTGCAGATTTTTGTTCATCAAAATACTTGTTTATCAGAAATAAAACAATCAGTACTTTTCGGTAATTGATTTCTCGCTAACCTTTTGTTAATTCAGCATCTCGCATTTCAATTTCTGTAGCCTCAGTTAATAACAGTTTTCATTTATCAGAAGGTGAGTGTCATATGGTGCTATTTTAAATCATGTAAGTTCTCAGTCTCTAGCAATCAAACAACATTTGTGGTGCTAATTGGATTCTGACAGGTCCCGACCTTCGGCGCTATCTGTCAACTTCGGTTGACCTCTGAAATCACTCTCTGAATAAACTTTTCAAAGTTAAGTTGATTATTGATTGAACTTACTTTTTCACCATCGAAGAACTAAAACGAACCCTAGGAGCATCGATATTGAAGTTGGAGTCACTCTCAGCGGAAGACACCGCATTTCAGAACAACGCGAAAAATCCATTGAAGCTAATAGGGACAATGAAGGTGATTCTGGAGTCCAACGGGTGGAAAGCTGATGCGAGAATAAATATCATCGGAGGGAATCGACCGTCTATCATCGGGCGAGACTTGATGACACAATTAGGGCTGCAATTGATCCAGCATTTACAAGGGGCTCCAGTCATGTCTATCAATAACGAGTCACAAGGGGAGTCAGGCCAAGGAGCTGCACTGGACTCGTGGCAAGAAAACTTTGGTAAGCTTCAAATCTATTTCCTAGGGTAGGAAAAACCAGAAACTATAAGATGCAGGCGGAGATTTCTGAAAACTTGACATCGATAAACAGAAGAGCCGCGGAGTACCAATAGCATTGCAAGATAAGGTGGATAAGGAAAATAACAAACTACTACAGCAAGGCCACTTCGAAAAATTAGAAGAATATTCAGATAAATATTTCGTATCGCCAATTGTTATAACAGTGAGAAAAGACGAATCAGTGAAACTAGCACTTGAATCAAGAGAACTTAATAATTGAGCACACAAAAACAAAGAGCAGACGCCGAATATAAAAGAATTAATGGAAAATGTTGGACAAACTATCAGCGAGAAAAAACCGTGGGATAAATTTGTTTCAACCATGGATTTAACTCATGCCTACGGTCAATTGCCCTAAGCGCAGAAACAAATGTACAATGTAATTTTCCAGTAATAAGGGGAAGTATACGGGTACTCACTGCTTCAAAACGGGGTTCTACGGGCTGACAACAATACTGGCCGAACTCTAGCGAGCTATGGATAGCGTTTTTTCCGAGTTTCAGCAAGCGCACGCGTTCATCGACGATATCTTGGTGGTTATCATTGGAACCGAAATAAATCATATTGGATATGTCGAAAAAAAACCTGAAAGATTTGGACAAGGAAAACAAGTTGTTGAAACTTACGAAATGCAAATTTGCTCAAAGGGAGTTGAAACAGTTGGGGCACAGAATAACCACCACGGGAGTAAAACCCTTGGTGCGGAAAACGGAATCCGTCGAATCGTGAAAACCGCCCCGCTTATTGCCGCAATTAAAAACGTTCATGGATCTCGAAACTAATTCTCTTAGCCCCATTAGAGAATTAGTTAATTCAAAAACTCATGAAAAAACCCACTCTATGAACCGCTACTATACCCAATTTGTCAATGATTTTTATGTAAAAGAGAAGGTCGTCTGGTTGGACGAAAAACTAGTTATCCCTTACGACCACTGTTGAGCAAAAACAACGATTAAATCTGGACCACGGATTGTCAGTCCGCGTTTAAAAATTTGAAAAAGCAAGTTTCGAACATCGCAGAACTTCGCATTTCGATATCAACAAGGACGCAAGAATTGTGTGCGACTCAAGCCATAACCGCCTAGGGGAAGTCCTGGAGCAACTAGGACCTGAAAGTTGGAGGCGAATCTCGTTCGCCTCAAGGTACCTAAGCCAAAAAAATTATTCAAATAATGAATTGGAAAAGCTGGCCGTTGTTTGGGGGGCTGAAAATTTTCGAAAATACAAACCAAGCCAAAAAACTCAGGTAATAGCAGATCATAAAGCGCTCGATTCTCTCCAAAATGGTGACAAGAAAAAAAAAACATGTTTGGTCGTCTAACGCGGTAACTGGATCGACTAATTCCATTTGATTTCAAAATTGAGGTTAAGCCAGGGGCCCAAATTGGCCTGGCGGATTATCTATTTCGAAACCCGGCGGATTATGTTCACAGTCGCAAAAAATAACTCGGTTGTAAAATTCATAGCGCGACCAAGGGACTAAAATTTAGAAATAACAACCAGTCATCCAATCGAAATGCAGTATGCAAATTTTCGTCGAGCAATGAGCCAGTAGACCATGCAACCGGAAAAATGACCAATCACAAGCCAGAAATTTACTTAAACTGACGGTTACGCATTACGAGCAAGAATTTAGTCGGTGCTATTACTCAATAACAAACAAGTTATACAGAACTTTTTTGTACCGAATAATTACGAAGAAATGGATCGAAGCTTTAGAAAATTGGAAAAAAATTTTCAAAGAGCACCCGAGTTAGATTAGTAGTAATGAAGAAAAGAGATGAAATACCAACACATTGCACTTAAGAAGCAATTAAAACAGAAACATGATCTAACAAATCAAACGCAATCTTATCGTTACCTTCGGCGTTTAATGGGAAACAATTCCCCCAGTGGACCCTATTATTCTTTGCATGTCCCTTGTTCCCCTAGGATATAAAACTGTAAGCAAATGACATCCCTTCCTGAGTTATTCAATTTTCTATTCAGTGAATCTCAATGCGCTTCTGACCCACAACTTAGCCCCATTAGAGAATTAGTTAATTCAAAAACTCATGAAAAAACCCACTCTATGAACCGCTACTATACCCAATTTGTCAATGATTTTTATGTAAAAGAGAAGGTCGTCTGGTTGGACGAAAAACTAGTTATCCCTACGAATCTTGCATCCGTGGTCAACAA